AAGCGATGTCCTGGATGCTCTCTTCGGTATTCTAGTCGAGTATCAAGGCAACGATGAGTACGAAGACCTCGTCTTCACCGCCCTCGTTCGAGTTTTGGGTATAGTCCACGACCGTCGGTTTAACTTGGGCCCTTTGGTGGATCACTATGCTGAGACTAAGTTCAACTATCCCTTCGCTACGCCCTGCCTTGTCAGGTCTTTCACACGGCTCCTTACAAAACCGACCGAGTCGGAGACTGCTCGAAAGCTAAGGGCTACCCTTAAGGTTGTACGCCATATTCTTAAATTCATCACGCATGCGAGAGGCCAGCAGAAGGTCAAAGAGGCAGGCATTGGCATTACCGGAAGCACGGCCGGTTTTACTCGACACCTGCAAAGTATATTCAAGGCTCTCGATTCAATGATGCGAAGCACTGCGCCAGTTTTGGTCGGAAGTCAGACATTGGCCGTACAGCATTTTCACACCTGGTTACCTGAACTTACTGGGTTATTAACTACTGAAGAGATCCTTCACATAGCTATTGACTTTATGGACTCATGTGCCCTGGTTAAGGGCAAGCTGGTGTTATATAAGCTGGTTCTGATCATCAACTACTCTAAATTAGACCTGTTTGCTGGTCCGGAGCAACGATCAGCTCTCTGTGCAAACACGGTAAGATGGATTGCACCACATTGGGGCCGGACGGACGACGTCACAGAGCAATGGAAGGAACAAGTTCGCCTTTGTTGCTCAGTCCTAGCTAGCCAGGTCGATCATCTTAATTCTGAGATCCCTGACTATATACCGAAGATTGTCGGGTCTTACCTATCTATCCAAGCTACAGAGCTGAAACCCAAAACCCGATTTTCAATCTTGTTTCCAATAACATACCCTTTCCCGAGCAAACAAATACCCGGCGACGCTGTTCAGTTTGACGAGGCTTTGATCGAATTATCAGCAATTTTGTCTGCTCTTTCGAACTCACCTAATGGAATGCAACTTGAATTGGCCGCGGAAGACCTCACTAGCCTCTTGAAGAATACACTCCACGTGCATACAAGTATATTGCAGGGGGAAGCTTTCCCGTCAAGTTGGCTAAGTGTGTACATCTATCATCACAAGTCAACCATGAGAACACTACAATATCTTGCAAGCATTCTCCTAGAATCCTTTTTGCCTCACCCCGACGACGCCGAAGACTTTGATACGGAGTTGTGGCGGATGTTCTTCTCTACACTGCTAAAACTAGTCGGCAGCGGACACTTGGCACTCGAGACTTTCTCGGAACAAAAGCGAAGAGCAGTTTGGAAGATTGCCGGTGACGTTAGGGAACACGGTGCCGAGTTGTTAAGGCGTACCTGGGAAGCTATTGGCTGGGATACAAGCCTTGACGAGAGATCCCGGTATGGGTTAACAAAGATGGGCGGCTATCAAGTCCAATACGTCCCTACACTGGTTGGCCCTATAGTTGAGCTTTGTCTAAGCGTTCACGAAGGACTGAGGAGAATGGCCGTCGAAGTTCTCCAAACTATGATCGTCAGCGAATGGACGCTGAGTGAAGACTTGTCGGTTATCCAGACAGAGATGATCGATTGCCTGGACGGATTCTTCAAAGACAAGACCATGACTGAGAGTATCTTGCAAAAGCTCTTCATCAGTGAGCTTCTTGACCGATTTGAGCCATTGTCGCTAGTTGGAGGCGACCCACTATACTCTGCTTTAAGAGGCTTGATCGAGACAATCGCCGAGTTTCTGGACCTTCTTGTCGCCGTTCATAGTGGGGATATCACGAGCGAAGCTTCTCATTTAATCAACCGCCTTCAGCTCATGGAGTTTCTCAGAGATATGCAGAAGGAGGAGATATTTATCCGATACGTCCATCAACTAGCGACTTTGCAATTCGATGCTAAGAATCATACCGAGGCCGGACTAGCCCTTCGTCTTCATGCTGAGTTATACGATTGGGACCCTTCAAGGCTAACACCTGCCTTACAAGACCCAGATCTTCCAGAACAGTCTCACTTTGAACGAAAGGAGCGAATTTACTTCGATATGATTAAACATTTCGAAGACGGAGAAGCTTGGAGTAGTGCGCTCGCAGCCTATAAGGAACTGCAGGCCCAATACGAGACTAATGTCTTCGACTTCTCTAAACTTGCTAGAACCGAAAGAGCTATTGCGACTATTTATGAAAAGCTGGCAAAGAGTGATAAACTGGTACCAAAATACTTCAAGGTTATTTATAAGGGTCTAGGATTTCCTTTAAATCTGCGCGACAAGGCGTTTGTGTACGAGGGCTCGCCCACCGAGCGGACGTCAGCCTTTACAGACCGTATGCAAGAGCAGTATCCAGCAGCCCAGATCCTTACGTCTAGTGACGTCGACAGTGAAGTCGAAGGGCAATACTTAGTCATTTCAGCCCTCAGCCCTCATCGCGATCTAAGTCATCAGGTATTTCAACGTGCTAGAGTCCCACAGCCTATTCGCGATTATCTCCTTTCGGCTCATGCACATATGTTCTCAGTATCGTCTAAGCGCAGCACCAACGGACCAGTTGACACTCACTATGCTGAAAAGACTGTTTATACTACGGCTGAGCCCTTTCCTACTATCTTACGGCGTAGCGAGATTGTGGACATTCACACTATACGGTTAGGTGCTAAGGAGACAGCCCTTGAACGAATTGTGCGGAAGACGCAAGAAATGACAGCCGTCGAGAAGAAACTAGCCGAAGAAGAAGATGAAGAAGTTGTTCAACTAATGGTAGATGCCATTAGCATCTCGGTAAATCCTGAATCGGATAGTAGTGTTGCCTGTTATCGTCAGCTTCTTCCTATTCCACAGTCCGAGGATGATGAGGAACCAGAACTAGACCAACAAGAGAACGCAATCAAGATGGCGCTTTTAGATCACGCAATCATGATTAAGAGATGCCTGGCTAGTTTTGCTCGTAGCACAAACCCTGTCCTCCTGAAGGGGTATGAGGACTCGTATAAGCGTAAGTAATCGATGCAGGTTTCGTTTAATTTGACTAACACCCTCCAGATTTCTTGTCTACATTCGCACCGGAGATTGCGATTTTCGCACCTGCTCAACCGCCTCGCGACAACGCCTCAGCTGCATCGTCACCAGCTTGGCAACGGTCATCTCCCACTGTAGAGAGCTTGTCTCCGGAAGCCAAAACCGGCGTATTGGCAGCAAACGCCGCCGGTGTAGTAGAGGAAGCATCAGCCGCTCAACCAATTTCTATGAAGCAACGTGGGACAAGACTTAGCTTCTTAGGTGGGAAAAGGAAGGAATCTCAGCAGTCTCAACAGTCTACTGGCGACGCATCGAGTTTGAAGCAAACCAAAGGTGATAGCGATTCTAACAGTCAAGTGAGCAGAGGAAAGGATAATTCAACCCGAAGGAGTATATTCCGCACCCAGTCGAGCGACACTAATCTCAGCTCAAATCCGTATGCTCAGCCTTACTCTAATGGTATCGTCGTTGACGCAACCACACCCGATTGGGCAGTCGACCGGTCACGCAAAAGCAAGGAGATAGTAGATGTCTTTGAGAGGGACTTTGATAGACCCAATGATGGTGGGACGGGGTTTAATTCAGTCAAGAAAAGGCTGAGCTTATTGAAGTTGGGAAAGAAACCGAGCAAACCCAATGGTTTTTTCATGGGTGGGGTAAGTGAGGAATAATACTAGATATATCCAAAGATGCCGGTTTGTGATGCTGGAAATACACAATGGCAATGGGTACTGTACGTGAAGGGATACCAAATTTGATGGAGCAGGATAATGAAAAAGCTCGAGGAACAAACCCGGCGTTCTGGACTATCATCTTGACGGGGCGAAGTGGCGCCAGAACTCAACTACTATCGAATGCCATTTACCCGCCACTGGCGGACTGTTTACTCAGGTGTCGTTTCCCTTGAGGTTTTTCTTTGTCCTTTTTTTTTCTCGATAACAGCTATCGATGAAGATTCTATCTCTTCTCGGCCCATGGGGAATTAGTAGAGTTACACATTTCTGGCAATGAGACCTTGATTCTGTAGTCAAGGAGTATTCACCTATAGATAATCAATGTTACAATCGATCACGGGCAACTGATTTACCTATTGATTTACCTACCTTAGGTACCTACTTAATCATAAAGACTTAGTTAACCTATAATGTTCAGCACTTTATTCCGTGCTTCTTTACTTAGCTTAATGGCCTTGATCTACAAAACCCAAATTGTAGTTAACCGATTAAGAGAGAATCGCCGGCGATTTACACCTGTCTTTATACATTTATAGAAACGGAGTCGAAATTGCCCATGCGCACCGGATAAATAAAAGGAATATTAACTCGCGAGATGTATAGGCCGAGGGCTCCGTAGTGATTTCGGAGCTAATTTTGCGATAGGTAATTCAATCGTATTGCTAACGCTCCGCGAAACGAAGATCAGTCGGGCTGTGTCGAAAATCGATGCTAGAGAATCGACAGCGACCCTTGCCCCTCCACCGGAGAGCACGTCAGAAACTATGGCATCACTATAGGTTAGGTAGGTACCTAAAGTATCCCTTCGAGGCCCCTTATTTCAAGCAAGCTTCTTGTTCCTGCAGAAACTAACTAAATCTCTTGGCAATTATTAGTCTTGTTTCTACGTGGGCTAAGATTCATCGCTGAGAAGAAACGAAACTCGTACAAAAGAGGATATGGGTTCGATATCAGCGTCCCAGTTCAGCCTTTTTGGTGGGGTTACTTCAGTAGATAATGCGAATGGTGCGGTACAGCTGGGGTGGGATATGTGATTAGACGGACAGCGAGGCAGTTGATCCTGGCTCGCTCTGGCGAATAATAGTTTCGAATTGAACATCTCCCGGCTTGGCAGGGTTTGGGGACGATGATCCTTCGCTGAACAACACTACCGAAGATAGGATGAATATTTTGAAGGGGATGGGTGTGGTACACATGGCCATAGCTGTCCTTTCTAGCAGCCAGATATTGTTGGCCTCTTCTGTTTCTACCCTCTCTTCTTCTTGTTTATTCATGTGGTATCCCCCCCCCCCCCCCCCTTCTGATTGCTTTATCCTGCGTTTCTTTAATTGAAACAAACCTGCTCATCTACCGGTCGGACTTCCAGGTTCTTATATTGCCTGCGTCTCACTTTTCATATTAGCATCGAGACACGCGGCCACTAGCCACGATTCAGCGAGCTCCGGTAGAAGAGCTCCGGAGTATATCCCGACCAATATGCGTAACGGAGTCTTTATGGTGCGGATATAGTAACGTTGACAATGATGCGGACGGTATCAAATAGGGCCTTGCCGCTTGCTGCCCGCTATGCCTCTGTTCTGTTAGCCGCCTTCCTCGTCTACTACGTCATTCGCGAGCCTTTGACTATAGCTGTCAGTAATATATCATTTTCACGAAATGGTGATTCTTCTGCTCCCGGGCTAGGGCGCGATCGAGATGGCCTTCTCCTTATCGGTGGCAAAGAAGGCACCAATGGCGAGGAAGCCAACAAGGGCCCGGCTATTGTAGCTCAAGCTGTCCATGAAAAGAACGTGGAGAAGCCAATGAGCGAGGGACAGGACGTTATAAAGTACGTCAAAAAATACAAGCCAGAATCAATTCCATCCGCCCCTATTGGAGACCATTTCCCCTGGCTCACGCATTCTAACTCTCCACCACCGGTCCTCGAAAACAACCTACCTCCCTATCCACACGTTGAGGAAGCGACGCCACTATTTATAGGCTTCACACGAAATTGGCCGTTGCTGTTACAATGTGTGAGTAGCTATATTGCGGCAGGGTGGCCGCCGGGGGATATCTATGTGGTTGAGAATACAGGCACGTTCCACGCGAATCGGGAACATAAGCTGGAATTGCAAAACCCCTTCTTCCTCAACTATACGGCACTGGATATTCTTGGCGTGAAGGTCTTAGAGACGCCAACTCTACTTAGCTTTGCCCAGTTACAGAACTTTTTCCTACACACGGCGCTGGAGCGTGACTGGCCTTTTTTCTGGTGGAGTCACATGGACGTGTTGGTATTCAGCGACGAGGATGTCAAGAAGAACGACCGCGATCACGATTGGGACCACGACCCGTACGCGACTATTTATGAGCGCTGTGTCGGATTGCTGCGATACCTAAACGGCCGGGATATGCCGCCGTGGGCTACCCACTTCTTCGAGTACGACCATCTCGCCTTGGTGAACCGCGACGCGTACCTCGAGGTCGGCGCCTGGGACACGCATATCCCATACTATGCCTCCGACTGCGATATGTACCTACGCTTGCACTGGGAGGGGTACTGGCAGCCGCAAAGCGAAGCAGGTCTTGTGTTTGACGTTTCCACGGTGCTTGACGATATTATGGCGCTATTCCGAGTTCCAGGTGCGCATGCTACATTCAAGGGAGACTCAGTGTACGCGGCAGGTGGCGACGATGCCTCCGATTCTGAGAAAATTCATCGGGAAGCGGAGCTGAAGCGCGAGCAGGACATGTGGTCGTGGGTAGACAAGGAGGGGGAGACCTTTGCCCACCTAGTCGAAGTGGCGAGTCGTATGCAGGATCTCAAATTGGTAGACGAAGGAGTGCAGCGCAACGCATGGCAGACGCGGCAGACAGGCGGGCAGGCGGATCCCTTCTATCGCAATCCGGAAGGATTCGCGGCAGGGCTTGAGACGCTGGTTGACGCCGGACGCCGGGTTTTTGCCGATAAATGGGGACATCGCGGGTGCGACTTGTTAGCCATGGATATCGAGGGTAAAGATGAGTGGCGCCTCGAGCGCGACTGGGATATAAAAGAGAGCCCTGGAAGCGAGGGGGGGAATTGGGGGAAGGATTGGATGCCGGGAAGTGAGGATTTGAATAAGTCGTAAGCGGGTGAGAAAGGATAAAGAAAAAGGGGATGGTGTGAATAGGGGTTACGTACCTATATATAGTGGAGGAAGTATCGTGTCTTAGGTGATAGATGGTGACGATTTTGGACTTTATGTATATATTATGAAGGCGTTTCTGGATGGATGGTATGGAATAGAGTATAACCTAGGCGTTATTAAGGTGATCGTATATTCAAAACGCTTGCGGATAAATAAATATCTATATATATAAGATTTTACGGTAAAATACTAATCACGAAGTATGCTCTACTACATATTAATTAATAAAAGTCGCTATTTCTTTTATAGGAGGCAGCATCGGAGACCGTATTAGCGATTATTACCTTGATGAGCCATTCGGTTATAAAATCCTATTAAACTTACGGACTGGCTTCAAAAGTCTACCAGTTAACACGTTGAAAGAGCCATTCGATGATCTACGTCTTCCTAATTATTTTGAGATTCTAATTGATTGATTTATATATGAATGGTAAAGTACATTAAAGTACATGTAGCTCCAAGCTGTAACATCGTGAGACTAGTCAAGCTTGAATCGAGAAGTCTAACTGAGATATCCAAAATGATGCCTTCCCGAATTTCCTATATATAATCCAGCATCCGAGGCCTGCCCCTATTATAACAAAATTTAGGTTTATATCTATGTCTAAATTACTAAGATAAGCACAATATGCGATGTTCAGTTGCCGTGACGGATGTCGTCAACAATCTTCTCGGCGAGGGCATCTATTTATCAGCAGTTAGCAATAGTCCAATAACAATATTAAACCGAGATTCTAACATCGAGAGGGAGACGTACAGATGGTAGACATGGGATGACCTGGAGGTAAGATCGGCAAACTTGAAGCATCTACAACGCGAAGGCCGGTGACACCACGGACCTTGGCATTGGCGTCGAGCACGGACATCTTATCGCTTGCTGGTCCCATCTTACAGGTACAAGCGGCGTGGAAGATTGTGGAAAAGTTCTCCTGGATGTAGTGCCAGATTTCCTCGTCGGTCGTGACGTTCTTGCCAGGGTAGTATTCCTCACCCACCAGCACGGGGCGCATAGCCGGCGCCGTCCATATCTGACGCGTGCGCTTAAATCCGGCGATGGCTACCTCTTTATCGGCCGGGTGGCTGAGCCAGTTGGGATTGATAATAGGTAAGTCAGCCGTGTCGTTGGACCGAATGGTTACGTTACCCCTCGACAACGTGGCCACTAAGCCGGCAATTACTGTCGCGTACTGGAATCCATCATTGGGCGCGACCAGTTGAAGATTGCTCGAATTACCGAAGAAGGAGCCGCCGGGGAGATATTCGAGCTCCGGCCAGTCAGACGAAAAAGAGGAGTCTAATGCCGAAGCGGTGGCGTTGCTGAGGAGGTTACGGGGGAGACGTTCCCAACCTGCTCAGTAGTTAGTAACCAGTTATCAATCTGCAATGAAGTACAAGTTAAAATGTCTGCGTCGGGGCTTACGTACCAAGAAGGTCGACACCGTTGTTTGTCATGGGGCCGTTACCCCGTGCATATTGTTTCTGGAATAGGGCTGCTTGCTCTGGGTCCCCAAAGGCGGAAGCAGTGCGGATATTTACCCTGTATGAAGTGCCAATAAGGACGTGATCTCTCATGTTCTGTCCAACTCCGGGGCTATCCTGAAGGACCTCGATACCATGCTTCTCCAGTGTATCCTTGGGCCCGATACCCGACACCATTAGTAGCTGTGGACTCTGGAAGGCTCCCGCCGAGATGATAACTTCCTTGCGAGCACGGATGGTATATTGAAGACCTAGCGTATCAACTAACACGCCAGTGGCACGCTTCTGTCCGTCGAACACCACTCGCTTAGCTAGTGTCGATATAAACGTGATAAGGTTGGGGTTATGTCCGCCAAGATGGGGACGTAGGAAGGCTGTCTCTGAAGACTCGCGTATGTTCTCCTCACGCCGGATTGTGGCGAGCGCGTAGGAGTAACCGCCTGAAAGGTTGCCGCTCTCGAAGCCGCGCTGTGGCTTGAGGCCGATGGCTTCCAATCCCTTGCGTGCCCAGGTACTGAATGGTTGTGCGTATTTAGGGAAGATGACTGACACGGGCCCCTTAGTACCGAGCTTGGATGGATCATACTGAGGCGTTGAGTTGGCGAAGCGGTCATAGGTGCCACCTACAGGAGGCGTGAACTTTTGACTTTTGGTAAAGTACGGGAAAAACTTGTCAAATGAATAGGCCGGCGAGTCGGCCTCCTTGGCCAGTTGGTCGTAGGATCCCTTCGTGGCGAGGTGATAGGCCATGAAATTGCGGGCAGAGCACCCACCTAGTGTTCGGCCTCTAGGATAGTGAGCGGTGATGTTATTGAGGGCTTGCTGTGGTTCCGTGATGAAACCCCAGTCAATATTAGGTTGCCAGTCATCAGTGGCTTTGCCCGAAAACCAACTCGCTGCTGAGGGGATTTCACTGAGGTTACCGTTGGTAAGCTCGTAGAAGCCGCCGGCTTCGATCACGCCTATGCTTAGGGAACTGTCTTCAGCGAGACGAGCTGCCGTTGCGAGACCAGCCTGACCACCGCCGACCACGACATAATCAAACTCATAGTCTTGGCCAGGGATACCAAAACTAGTGCCGAAGATGCCGGTGATCGAGGAGTCCCCCGGCTGGGGTTGGCGTGTAGGAGCAGCTATCACCGAAAGACCGGGCAATAATGCGGCTGCCAGGGCCGAGAGCCGGAGAGTATACATCATAGTCATTAGGAAAGGATAAAGAGTGCGTGACGGTAGATCTAACACTTGTTGGCTCTGAAGGGTTGAGGTGATCGGCCGAACGTGATGGATCCTATTCCTCTGAATCGCGCCTACTTCTCCTTATATATACGAGCTGGAGCGAGTCGCCATCGCATCATTTCGCTGCTTACCTCTCCCCCCCTTTTCATTTTCCGAGAGCTGTGCCTCTCAGTAACGAGGAACATGTTGCTGACATTACCCTATACCACTCTTGTAACGACTTGTAAAAGCACCTGAGTCGGTACCTTACGCTATCAGCTGACAATATTCCGACCATGCTTTCACTTTCTGTAGGTATGATGTATCTCGATCTTGGAGCATTTGTCTTTCCGAGAGCGGCCATTAGAAAAAGGTGTACATATTCGTCGAACGCTAGGAGGTCTATGCCGGTGCAGTTAGATAAGAAGGGTTACACATAAGTACGCCTCCGGTCATAACTGGTCAAATGGAGAGTTCCTTGCGCAGATATGATGTGGCATAAGAAAAGAATCAGAGCTATGGACTGTAGCGTGACGCCATGCGAATATCGTCCTAACCCCTTATCCCAGTGGTGTTTGGGATGACATCATGAAAGGCCGTCCACCTAAGCCTGGGAGGCTCGGCTTGCTGGCCAGTCAGATGCAATAGTCAAAGGTCAGCCGTGCAGTGAGCTGATAAGAAACCAGCCAGTTGGGTGCAAAGTGAGGCTTGTATGCTTAAGATTCATTGGTTCTGCATACTATGGGATGATGTTCCTGGCTGTCTGAGTAGGGTTTGGTGAGATAAAAGCTCGGCAGGACCCGACTGAGGGGAAAATCTGGCTCAGAGATCACATCGCATTTTATTTTCTTCAGACCTCATAAGGCTGTGAGGCGTATGAGTCACCTGATATTGTCAGCTACTGTAAGCAGAACCAGGGCTACCAACACGGTCAAATCCGTAGTGGTCTTTCCTCTAAAGCCCTTCTGTAAGGTATGTCTGTCAGCTGTCTCTTGCTGCAGTATTTGCTGGACGCATGCCGACATCTAGCTGTTATTATAGAGAGTACAGTATAAAGGCTAGAAACTATTATCACTCTAAAGCACATCAGAATCGGATCTTATAGCACAATGGCCTAGGATTCATATACACCACACAATATAGAACAGATTCATCCCGCTGGGCAAGTTTGATTCTAAAAGGGCAGAAACTTAGTACAATAATCCAGCCTAGTTATTGAGAATTTTATAAGAAAAAACATAAACTTGAAGTTGCTGTTGGGATTACAGTAAATACTTGTCTATAGACTAAGCTTACTATACTAAGAAAATATAGTATTGAATAATAATGATTTGCCAACCGATAGTTGTACATTTGAAGGTGAATCCAAAAGGAGTTACTTGAATATATATTCAGCTCAGGGTAACTTATGTTAAAGCATTATTAGACACCTTTCATCTTAATAAGATCAGAGAGGTCTGGATCTGGACCACGTTAATCTGACGTTTGCTGATAGGCAACAGCTATAGACCTCAGAAGCTAGCCTAGTAGATATAAAATAGCCATAAGCAAGCTTTTTAAGGCCTAGGGTTTTGCAGGAGTTTCGAGAGGAATAAGATTATTGCTAATTGTACTTATTATATCTTGACTTATGTGAAGAGAAAACCATAAACTTGATTTCATCTATATATCATTTTGTTTATGTAGTTATTGTATTGTTATAGTTAACCTGGTTGTTTAGAATCCGGAGTTAATAAACATGCCTTACGGAATTAACTGTTATTTTAAGGCATCGGATTCCGGTATCGTGGTGTAAGATATGTCCGACACACGTAAAAGATCGCATAACAGTTTCAACCCATAATTAATGTCCAGAAATAGAACAGTGCCTAGCCATGGTATCTCTTACTGAAACTTTTTGGTCGCACAAACCACGGGAAACAAATTCTAATTCGGGATTATTAGTCCCGTGCTCTTGGTGCCGTCTTCGCCGGAGATAGCAACCAATTCAGCAAGCGCCGCCCGAAACTAGCCGGTTTAGAACCGAACCACTTAAAGAAACACCGGCTTTTACGGCCGCGGACTTATCGCGTCTTTAAGGCTCTGTCTCGCCAGACTATAGCGCCATTATACTCTACTATACACAGGGCATCTCTTGTTGTTAAAAGCACAACGTTGGGCAATGGGTTTTTCCCAGTTCAAGCCGGATCGTATTCGCTGCTAATGAAGAAAGCCTTGTCTAAATTCTTACTCCGTTTCGGATCGGGTCATTCTCGTTCTGCTTTATCGTCTTCTGTATCTGTATCACCATCCGGGGGTCACCCACGTGCTAGCGTTTCTCACCCTCACGTCAGCGCATCCATCATGGCCTCTAACCCATCCCCCTCCCTTCAGGGCAAGGTTGCTCTTATCACTGGTGCTTCCAAAGGCATCGGCAAGGCCTCAGCTATCGCACTCGCGCGTCTTGGCGCCACAGTGGTCATCAACTATTCTTCGGATGAGCAAGCCGCGCAAGACACTCTCACCGAAGTGCAAAAGCTCGGTGTAGGTGAGGCGCGCCTTGTACGCGCTGATGCTAGCTCCATAGAAGGTGTGCAGTCACTTGTCGAGCAGACCGTCGACGCCTATTCTAAGATCGATGTACTTGTACCGAACGCTGGTGTCCTGCCTATGAAAGACCTCGAGCATACCACCGAGGCTGATTTCGACCGTACTTTTGCTATTAATGTCAAGGGCCCCTATTTTCTCGCCCAGGTAAGCATTCAGAATCCTCACCGAGGGACTGATCATCCGCGAACTGCCCGTGACCTAGGTGTGACACAGCTGCTGACCCCTCACCTCACAGGCCGCCGCGCCGCACATGTCTTCTGGCTCGCACATCATCTTCTTATCTAGCACATTGACCACGGCATCTACTGTCATGCCGGGCTACCTGCTGTACAACAGTACCAAAGGTGCTATCGAGCAGATGACTCGCGTGATGAGCAAGGATCTCGGACGCAAGGGTATCCTCGTCAACGCTGTTGCGCCCGGTCCCACGGGAACTGAGCTCTTCTTTCGCGGCAAGAGTGACGAGTTGCTTAAGACTATCGCAAATTTCAGCCCCCAGGGCCGCATTGGTACTCCTGAGGAGATTGCCGAAGTTGTCGTCTTCCTGGCTCACTCAACCTGGGTTTCGGGCCAGGTGCTCCGCGCTAATGGGGGCATGGCTTAATAGAATCTAAGAAGGCAAATATACTAAATAGCTATCGAAAAGAACAGTGAAATATAGCTTTATAAAAAGAATAAAATTGTCACTCTAAGAATTATGCATATTGCCAGTATATTTGAATGATAGTTAACCATGTGTCATATCCCCCCCCCCCCCCCCTTTTTGTGCACCCTTTCTAGCATCGGGGAAATGAAATCACTTCACAACTAAAAGATAAATCGGCGTAAAAAGGGGGCACTTAACGATATATGCTATATTGTTTCTTATATTAAGTTTTGCATTTCTTTTTAGAACTTGAATTTATCCATGCGAGCTGAATATTTGAAATCTTTGATACTTTATATAATCTTTTAGACTCAAAGAGATTAAGTTCGTTATAGCTTGTGTGATTATTCGGCTCACGGTTTCTGAAGTTGATTTCAATTGGCCATTCGATCCAGTGCGTTAGGTAAACGGTCTTACGATGGATGGTCTTAGTGATCTCGATGTACTTCTTGGATTACGCACCCGTGAAGGAAAATATTTCTCGCCAGTCCGGGAATATGTTTTGCCATCTTACTCGTATTCTGACGTAACTAGATGACATACCAGTGTGGTTATCCGAGCACTGATAATTAAATCCAGGTGCCTGTGGTCAATTGTGGCTTGATCATTGGCATCGGTGATGACATGTAGAAGTATAGGGATAGATGCCATCGAGGACTCTGTCACTGAGTCGTCACTTTCAACGGAAAGAGCAGTCATGCTCGGTCATAAAATTTAAGCCCATGACTATGACGCTTAGTAGGAAGGGCATAGAGATCGCTATTGCTGAGTATATTGGCTTGAAACATAGGTATGTTTATGGAGATGACGATTCCGTTAGCTACATGACACGATTTTCAACGTTGCATCTCCCATACTTCGAGGATGTCATAGTTCTGGAAAAATCACGAACTACCTAGAGTTTCGTCCAGGCAGAGACTTGCCTAGTGGGGTAATTGTCCCGAAGTAGTCACTGGTAATACATGCATAGTTCAGAGATTCGACGAAGCTGTGCTAAGTTGGAGGGAATTGAGATGTACTTGGAGTCGATTTCTTATTTGATTTGGACTTTGCTAGGAATAGTTTAATAGGTTAGGTAGGTAGGTACCTATGTAACTACGAGAATCTTTTTTCTAATAAAGCATTATCAAAAAATAAAGGACTTACTTTGTTACTATAATTCTGCGTGTTTATTGTAATGTTAAGTCTTCTTAGTAATTTAAAACGACTTTCAAAGCAAGGATCCTCTCTTGATCTTTTTCTCACTTGTTATATAAGTACCTGAGTACCTACATAATATATAAAAACTATTTCCTAAGTCAACTGATAGACATTCCTTCGGCATGCTTCCCGTACATATTTTAGAACTATGACGGGTAATTATCATCAAGCGCCGACATCGTGTCAGTTATAATATCTACTCGGATTGAAAAAGCTAAGCGGAAAACAGGATTCCTATAAGACGACCAATGTTACCTGGTGGACTTATGACTGAAATGTAGGTCAAGTTCCGTCATTCTAAGTCATAATAACTTTCCTTTCGTATTCAAACCTGAAATCATAGTTATGGTGGCTAGAGCTTCGCGATTTGGTCATATGTCATCGAGGTAATAGCTTCTCAGATAGTCTTGCACCTACTTGACCGTAACAACTCGAGATACTACCCACAACAGTAAAAACGGACCAGACCGAAGATGGTAGGCCGCTTTCGATGTGGCAAAATGTGATGCGCGTCCAAGAAATTCACCCAAACCTATAACTAGAGAGTTTCTCA